TTGTTTACGTTTCGATCTCTCTCTCGGCCCATTCGCACCGGTCTAAAATAAATCGCGTTGATATTCATAAGCTCTTTCACTTCGAACCGATAAACGACAACTAAACAGCCTCGTCTATGATTGTCAGAATTCGTGACATTTTCTATGTCGTAAAATTACTGTCAGATACTCGCAAGTTCAAACGCCGCTAGCGTGCGTTCATTTAAAGGGACCCTCCCACCTTAACATTAGTTTTGAGTTGAGATAGCCAAGTTTGCGGCCAGGCTCAGAAACCACCATTTATCATGGTCGCAACCCCCGCAGCTTTATGGTGTTCAAGAAATTTCTTCCCTTTACTTGCAGGGTGGGACCAGCGTGGTCCCTATCTCTTAACCATTACGGGAATCTGATGACGTCATTAGGCTTTCGAACGTCCGTTAAATGTTTGACTAAAACGTTTTGTAGCACGCGGTGGTATATGCTTCTTTGCGCGCAACAAATGCCGCACTTTCAAATAAAGTCGCTAGGAACAGCGGAGATCCCAAAAAGTAAACAAAAGTAAAAGTCTAATATCTTGAAAACCGGTGAATATTTTTCGATGAAATTTGGTAGATATTCGTTTTTGCTCTTTCTGAACCGAGCGACATCACTTTCATGCCAATTCATTAACTTTTTTGAAGGTGGGAGGGTCCCTTTAAAGGGACTATCCCACCTTTAACCCGCGCCCGGCTGGGGGTCCTGGATTTCCACGCCCTGCTGGGGGGGGGGGTGTTTGAACACCCCCCCCCCCTTGTAACTCGGCTCCTGGGCCACGTAGCGATACGCGGAAAGCGGCGTTCGAAAGAGCGTCGAAAATAATGACGAAATCACTTCGGTCAATTTTTTGGTCAGGTCAAAGGTCAGGTCACCAGAGGTCAATGAAGGCAAAATTTCGCCGATTTCCAGGTCGAATGTCGAAAATTTCCAAGAAGCCAACGCATAACTCGGGAACCAATAGAGCTACAGCGCCGCGGAAAAGCGCATTCGATAGCCCTATTAACGCCCTTTCTGAGTAATTCTCTCAGATTTGACCTAACGTCAACGGTTTTGCCTGCAGGGGGCAAAAACTGCAAAAATAGCCGATTTTTTCGGAAACAGTTTTTCTGCAATAACTTCTGACCCAAGCCTTGTACGAGCTTACTTTCACCGGCATCGTGTTCCTCTCGTCAAGACGCATCGAATGAACTATAACTTGACATTGAAAGGTCAACTTTAAAATTTGACCTCAGGTCAAGGTCATGACCTGACCGGAAAGGGTCATGTTGCATATCAGTCGATCCGTATCGTCGAGCTGAACACATCTAAGGCGTTTTCATCGCTCTAGCATGCCTCTATCAAAAGTTATTTGCGAAAAACTGTTAGATACCATTTGTGACCTAAGATGACCTCAGGGCATAAACAAGGGTCACGGACACCATTTTCATGTTCAGTGTGTCTAAACCACTTGTAATTCGGTGTTTGGGAGTGTTTATAATGTCTTTCATCCAAAAGAGGCGCATTTCAATTTTCTCCCATTGACTTATAATGGGGAGGTCGCAAAATTGACCTGACCTTAGGCCATCGATATCAAAATTCTGAGATATACATTTTGTACATCCTATTGCTCTTAGCAATCGCTGAAAGTTTCAAAGCGATCGGTCACTCGGTGTAGCTATGACAGACATTGAAACTTTTTATGAGGTGAGGTCACTTCAAGTGACCTGATGACCTGACCTTGAATGACCTTGGTCTAAAATTTTTTACAACATGTGTAGGGGAGAGTGGGGAAAGATGCCCAGGGTTTTACTATGTCATATATTATTCGAAAATGACGATCGGAAAGCAAAAACTTGGAGTTTCAACGGAAGCCGACATCATTTTTCTCCAAAAATATCACCCTTTCGTGCCTGAAATATTATAACTTTTTTTGCTATTAAGCATTTTCCTGAAGAAGTGAAAGGGGGCATCTTACCCCACAGGGTGGGAAAGACGCCCCCTGGCGTTGGGGAAGATGCCCCCTGCACAGGGGCGGAGAATTGTCATAATCCCAGGGGGTGCTTTTCTAGCACCTGGCGAATGGAAGCGTCGAATTCTTGCGTAGAAAAGCACGTATAGGTACGTTTTCCCAGCAACATCACTCTCCTCGCGACTTACGCAAAGCAGTTTGTGTCTCAGAAGTAATTTAAGCACCCCTGGAGCACTATGACATGGTGACTTTTGAATTCCAGGGGGTGCTCGAGCACCCCCAAAACCCCTAATTCTCCACCCCTGCCCCTGCATTATAAGTGACATTAATGGGCACGTGAATCGCCTGAACGAATCAGTAGTCCCTTCGAGCCTGCAGTAGACACCAAACGTCATCGTAAGGGCCCTCAAAAGTAGTCGTAAGGGGCTTCAGGGGTCATCGTTGGGTTCATCATAGTCCAGCGCGGCCAAACAAGCCTCCGTGGTGGCGTTCGGAGACCACTGTGGGGCCCTTATAGGTCTTCATGATGTTTGAGGGCCCTCGAGCCCATCGTGGGGACCTCAGATGCCAGCGCGGCCCGTGGAGGCAACGTGTGAGCCCTCAAAGGATGACGTGAAGGGGCCCTGGAGCCAATAATGGGGCCCACAGAGGCCGTCGTGAGGGCTCTCAGAGTCAGATGCCGCCCAAAAAGTCGCTGTGTGGGCCGAGAGACCGGCATGGGGAGCACGCGACCGTACTGGACTCTCAATAGTCCCAGATCGGCTTTTGTCTCTCATTACAAGTATGTAATAAATGATTTGACGGGCTGCTTGAAGGACAGCCTATGGATTTAGGGGGGCGTCTTTCCCCATCAGGACAGGGGGCATCTTACCCCAAGGTACCGAAGTAACATTAAGTCAGTACAATTTGTTAGCCATAAAACTACACCCTGAAACAAACTCTTTGGGACACAGTACACGCATGGTAATGTATCATGACTATAGCAGGGGACGCAAAAACTATCTACCTTCTTTGATATTTACAATGTTTTGACACCAAAATATTTTTTGAAAGCAGCAAATAAAAAACATGCAATCACCAGCCAGCCGCTGCCCAACTGAGCTTCGCAATTTTTTTTTGTGCAGTTTACAAGGCAGGCTTCCGCTTTACGCTAAAAACATTAATTTCCAGGTTCGATTAAGTGTTTCGCCGCTAGAGGGGGTGGGGCGTCTTTCCCACCCTGGGCATCTTACCCCACTCTCCCCTAGAATTGATGTATGATAAGGTGTACCAAAAACGGCGGCGCTCCGCGCCGCCGTTTTTGAGATATTCGCGAAAAACCACAAGGGGGTGTTCAAACACCCCCCCCCCAGCAGGGCGCGGGCATGGGGTTTGAGTTGAGATAGCCAAGTTTGCGGCGTGGTTCAGAACTTCAGAAACCACTATCTATCTAGGTTGCAACCCCCGCGGCCTCTTGGTGTTGAAGAAATTTGTTCCCTTCATTTGAAAATGGGCCTTGTACAAGGCCCTATCTTCAACATGGAGCGACCGTTAGTGTGACGTCACCTCGTTTAGTCATTCTGATTTAAATGGGTTTGTTCGTTGAAAAATCGCTTAAAACTTGGTCTGAACTTGGTTGTGGTGCCTACAGAGTAAAAAGAATCAGCTTTATGACAGTAATGTGGCCTGGGGAAGGAGGTAATTTTGGGCTGTGACGTCACATATTTGAAAGTTTGTGTTTGGAATATGGGAAGCCTAAGATGTTTAATGAAAAATAAATGCCAGAACCGTGTTCCTGGTCATCCAGTCTATAAAGTCAGGCACAATTTAACTGGTTTTAACAACATTTTAGAAGGTGGGATAGTCCCTTTACATTGTCATCATGTTGCCATCGCAGTTCTTTACTAAAAAATATTTGCTTTCGTTTCACCTACAGCAGTTTACACAGTGTGTGCCCGTTAGTCCACCATACCATAACATTCTCTAATCATTTCTGAGCCGCATTGTGAAATAATTAAGGCGCTAGCACAGGGCTGACCGGCGCTCCTAATGCAGTGCCGTCGTACTAAAGGCAATGCCTTAGGAGAGATTACAGGCAATGGTAAGTCAAATCTGGCTTCAGGACGAAGGGCCTGAAGCCAGATACACAACCACTTAACCCAAGAATATCTGACTTACCATTGCTTGAAATCTAGGTATTCATGCGAGCAATTTTTTTCTTTTTCCCAGGTAGGTGAAAATCAGTAGGTCAGGTTAGGTAGGTAAGGTTAGGTTATGTTAGGTTAGGCTAGGTTAATTTAGTAAATTAGCTTCTGCCGATTTTCTGGTGTTCTCTTTCCCATGAGTTGCTGATGAGTTGACCATATACCACAATTTGTTTTGTGTTGTGTTATTTTGACGTCACTTTCATAACATACGTTCCGCAACTGTTTTACCAGAAATGGCAGCAAATGTTTTAATACAGCGGCGTTTATCGTCTCATTTGCGGCGGTGTGTGCACTGCACATGGCTGGCTTAGGTGATGTGAACGGGGTGTGACTGTTAAAATTTTTAGGTGTTTTTCATATTTCTGCCACATGTAAATATCATATCTGGATTCAGGATGTCAAATAGTGTAAGACTGTGCAAAATTTATGTCTGAAAAGTGAATCGGACTCTTTCTGTAAATTGTAATTTTACTGCTTCCTGGTCACAAGCAATACACTCGTTTTTTTGGCGAGTCTGTATCTCGATCAAGGGTTGAGCTGTTGGGAGCCGGGAGGGGTCCGACCGAACCGAGGTCTGCTGTCTGACAGGCTTTTCATAAATTTATTCCGAACCTTTTGCTAGGAAGGATTAACAAGGACAGAGCTAAGCGAAGCTTGTTGCGGTGACCCTGCCGGCTGCCCTCTACCCCCGAGTCCGATCGAGCCATTCCAGTTCTATGGCAGAATTTAGGGCGACATTTCAGATTCAGATACGAACCACCAGCAAATGACTTTTTGATGCCTGGAATCGAATTATCCGTGTCAGATTTCAAGGGAAAGGACTTCAAACCGCTGAAATTCGATGTACTTACCCCAAAACGAAATTCTATAAGCTCTCTTATCAGTTTCAATTATACCAAGAACTTATACGGCCTTGCCAAGAATTATACCGGAGCCCACATCAGTCCCACGCACAAGGGGGAAAAGCTCAAATTATTGAGCGCTCAAAAAATTGAGCGGGCCCCATTATGAAGGAATAGGCGAAACGATGGTATTTTACAATGCCTCTAGCGTCACACTACGGCCAATATCGTATCCAACTAAGGTATCAATGGCAAGAGAGAGCAACAAGGTTTCTTCTCGAACACTCGCCGTGATAATTTATATCGGTGTTTTTGGAAAGAAAATGCCCTAAAGACGCTCAACTTTTTGAGCGCCACTTGTCGTTCGGGACCGCGATACTCAATAAATTGAGCGCCACGACAGACGACAGTCAGCTGGCGCTCAAAAAATTGAGTGCCGGCCAGCATCTACACTCAATTTATTGAGCCTTCTCCGTGACAGGTGAAGCCGGTACTGGCTGCCATTTTTGATGTTATATTCGTTGAAATACGTTAAACTGAGTTGAAACAGAAATGCAGGAAGTTGAATGCTACGTGGTACCTAAACTTTTCACAAACCCATGGCATCATGTCACATTTTCCGCTAGTAGTTTTATCGGTCGCCTTTCGGATTCGGCACACCTCAAATAATTATACAGGGCTTGAATAATCCGTATGAATACTGTATTGATATTTTCTGACTACTGGGAGAAGGGAATACGTGATTACAGAAAGATATCCAATTCCACCCACGCTTGAATATTGGAGAATTATACAGGAAAAACTGTATTGCCACGGTTACAACTTACAAGGCCATCGGCTGCAAACAAACAAAAATACTATACAATGTGGGTTAGATTCACAAACATCATCAAGTGTGGAACACAGAGACGAGCAAAACAACATCACATTATCGCATGCCAGCCCGACCACATTGGAACCGGGTGACCTGCGACCGGAACCTGCGTCTTGCCAGCATACATCACAAAAGCAGGAGGCAGTGTCGTACTGCTTTGATCCAAAATATGCCATATAACAAATGATATTAACGACCTAAGCTCGGACTAAGCTTATCATTATCAAATCCTTAACATGTAAAAGACGAATGGAAACATCGAGTCTCAGACCAGGAGTAGCAACCATCACAGTAGCAACATCACAAAGAACACGCGGCATTATCAGACAGCCGTTTTGTTATCGGGCTACAGGCGGCGACGGCGTGGTTGCAGACCAGCTGCGAGGTAGCGGCGTGCGGGCAAAAGGCGCGGGCACACCTCCATGTGGCCGTGCGGACAGTGCGCGGTCGACGTCGCATAGTGGGCGGCATCGGGCTGTCCCGGGGCCGTCGAAGCCGCACAGGTTGTCGGCGCATGTGGGCGCGCGCGGTCACCACGGCCAGCTGCTCACCACCAGCACAGACTGCGCAGCGTCGCCGCTCCGCCGGCCAGAACACGCAGACAACCCTTCTTGCAGTCGCACAACACGTCGCCAAACTCATTCACCTGCCCCACCATGTTGTTGATGTCACCGAGTCGTTCAAGTTGTGGCTCGTGCCGTCGAGCATGACCTGCCCGATCGGACACGGGTCAGCGGCTTCTGCTCCAGCGAAGTCTTCATCTTGGTGACGTCTTGCTGATCTCCACGAAGGCTGAGCAGATGACCTTACCCACAGGGACGGCCGACGTCCTCGCCAGCGACCGCTTGGTTGTGCAGGCCTGCCAGAAAAAGAAAAGCTGTTTGGTGATCTCAAACGATTTTTTTTCTTTATGCAGTGGAACAAAATGGAAAATATGTCATACAACAGGAACTAAAAAAAGATGCAGCCTAGGTCGTCTAAGAAATGGGTGCAACATTGATAAAATTCTTCCTTGAATGAATTCTACAAATGCTTTTGATAAAATGTGTGGTGATTATAAGGAGACCACTGTACTATAAAATTGCTCAGGATTCCCTATCTGGACCTGTCAAAAAATCCTGACTGCACACCAAGAATGAGCATTAAATCCAAAACCTCTACCAGGTACCTAGGGATAATTAAATTCTGATTCAGGAAAATATTTCACATCATACAAATAAAAACCTTTACTATATTGAAACTGAAAATGTGATGCCGATCCAGTGACCTAAGGGTCTCAAAGTATAATAATGAATTAATCTATTATAAATTTGGTGGTGACTGCCAACTGGCATCTGGCAGCCTAGACCTTGAGGCTTGAAAGTGGCCTTCCTTTTCCGTTGACTCCGATCCTCCAGATGGAAATGATATAAAGGATCATTTTTATCTTATTTCAAATGAGCCAGTCAGCAAAGTGGCTATCCTGTTTCAGCATTCACACACACAATAGTTGACTGTCAGTCTGCCATGCTGTCAGTGTTGTGAAGTAACGAAGGAGTTGAGTTTTGTTGATTATAAATTGTGATGTTATGTAAAGGACTGGAAAATGAATGTGAAAACTATGGAAACATATTGGCAGAGTATTGTCACTTACTATCAGGACATATGGATAGAGAATACATTCAAATTAATAAGAAATGCCAAATATCAAGGTACTCAATCACTGATAGCAGTGGACTATCATATGTTTTAATGTCAATTATATGAAAGTTAAGACTGAAACTACCTTTTACTGCATCATACCTAATGAAAAATTGTGTGAAGAAAACATTCACAGCCTCTTTGAAGCACTTAGACCACTAAAAAACAAAAATTTTCACGTAAATATGTTGTGTCTCTTTCCCTCAAAACATCATATCGGATGGCGCCACTTTCGTCGACAGTTACTTATCTGCACGCAAATCGAGGAAAACGTGAATTGATTGACGTTTACGTGTTTCCAAATTTAAAATCACAGCATATTCAAACCTTTCAGTGTACCTTTTAACATCTAAATATAACTAAAACGATAAAAACTTACCTTCAACACAAGGACGACGACAACCACGCGACCGGAGACGTCGCGACGAAATAAACAAACGGCGCCGCCAAATGAAAAATATTCTCCGATATGGGTGATGTGAAATTGAGTCGCAATCATTTTGGGTAGTATGAAAAATGCTCTTTCAAACAGAACCCTAGTAAAAAACGTGAATGGACAAAAAATAACTTTTATTTCGACATAAATATTGGCCTGTTTTTAAGGCATCCTGGTATGCTGTAAGATTTCGACCTAGAAATTGGTGTTCCCCCAATCATTGAACCTTGAGCAGTGAAAAATATGAAAGCCTAATCTGTTTTGCATCATTAGTGAATCTCCTAGGGTGTTGCCATTTCTCCCTAGGTGTTGCGAGTTGCTTTTGCAAAACGTGTTCCTGAAACGGCTCAATTTTTTGAGCCCTCAGCATTACGCCTATGGGAGCCTCTGACGTCACACGCTCAATATTTTGAGCGCTCAATAATTTGAGCTTTTCCCCCTTGTGCGTGGGACTGACATGTTTTAGGAGGGCTGTTCGGCTGCGCAGCCAAAATGAAATATGCTGCAGCACGCATGCGCAGTGAGGACTTCGTCGCCCGTTAGTCCCGCCCACACCACTGCGTCACCGGCTGTGTGACGTCACCTACTGAAGCATGCTTCGTTTTCCTGCAGCACGAAATTCGGTGCTGCAGGAGGCGAAAGTGGCGCGGATTAAAGTTTACCGTCCGATATTTCTTATTGTAAGCGGTTTGTATGTTGTTTTTTGGGTATCATTATCACTCTTTTCGGTGGCACATTGCTATTAACCACATTTGAACGCAATTTAAACGTTATTTGAGCGACAATCACCAGTCCACCCGCGCAACGGTTCGCCGCGTTTGAAATAGGCTGCAGCGACGCTCGGCCGCGGCGTGCCGGCGGAGAGTGGGCGGAGCCAGGCGGTTGACGTCACCCAAGTATGACGCACGCAGCACAGATCTATGCTGCAGGGACCCGAACAGCCCTAGGGCCTTGCCTTGGGAGCCCGGAGCTAGGTACACACACAACAGCAAGCACAACAGAGGGGGTGTATATCAAATATGCGACAGTTCATTAGTGCAAATACTACACGAGTGCTACAGATTCAGAAGTGCGACTGCTCGTAAGTGCGATTAAGTGCTACAGGGAGCCTGACGCCATTAGGCCCTTAGGCGGTTCAAAAGTGCGATGGTTTTGATTGGCTAGCGGTCGACCAATGAGGCTGCCCGTTCCACTGTGCTTTGCCAGGTACACTCCTCAACAACGCGATAGGGACGAGGCCGGTGCCATCCACAGCCGCCAGACCCGCCCGGGCCGGACCATGCGGCTCGGGCCGGGCCCGAGCCGCATGGCTACTGGCGCTCGGGCCGGGTGGGTGTGATTCATGGTTTTCAAGGGCACCCGCGCTTCAGAGCTCAGCGGCACGGATGAGGGGAGGACAGCACCAGCCGCCGGGCCGGACCACGTGGAGCGCGGGCGGACCCGCTCGGGCCGGGTGGAGTATAGGGGGCCGGGGCGAGAGAAGGAATGGGAAAGCAAATTCTGCAGGACGATTTGACGTTTGTCTATGAAGTGTAAGAAAACAGGCAATTATATAGTAGGAGCTAAATAGATTGACAAGTGTCATTTTATCTTCATCGGAACACTGCCGTGTACAAACCAATGAACCAGTAGATAGTTAAGTGGATGAGGCCGAAATATTTTTTAAGTGTCTCACCTCACTGTAGCGCGAAACCAAACATGAAACATAATAGGCATAGCTCAATGTGTTGATGAAATTGGACTGAGAAAGCAAATGCAGTTTTTCGCAAATCGTTACTATGTAAGTCGTCATAAAATCGTTGATCGTAAGTAGCAACACGTAGGTAACCGCGAGAATTAAATATTCCGACAAAACTTTCCCTGGTAGGTATCGTTCTCAGGACGTTTCCCTATGAAATTACTAATACTAGTTACCCTTATAGTAAACACAATTAAATTTCTGTTGTAGGCACCTACATGCACGGCCTACATAGCCTGTCAATTCACGGCGCCACAAATGAAGGTTTTCCATACTAAGCCACTTTTCTATGAGAACGACTTTGATATGCAGTATGCACTCGTAAGCTCGGCATTCTCTGCACACTCCAGTCTCCCTCTTTTCCATTTTCTGT